CTACTTCAATCTCAGTTATGTAATAGAGGCCGTTTTAAATAAAAGTTGCGGAAATTTAAAAAAAAATCAGTGTTGCCTTCCAAAATACAACTGATGGCACCATGAAAGAGTGAAATGCTACAAAGGTTTTAATGCGCAGACAATGGGACATTCTCCCTACATGAGGTATTTGATTTTATATCTACAATTTAACTGAGCATGCTGCTTACATTTACATCCAACATAGCCGAACGGACGCTCCCACTTTTACCCTGGTTATACTGCCGGTATAAAAAAAGACCTTGAAAGTAATTTATTTCTATATTTTAATGAAATAGTAAAATTAGTATACGTTAATGAAAAAGCAATAACCAAATAACCTACGTATTTATAATATGGACACGAATGATAGTTCCAGTAAAAGAAAGAAGGAAAAAAAAGCTTGATATGGACACGTTTAGGGGATTGGACACGTTTGTGGGTTTATACATATGACACGCTTTGGCGCCCTTTTACAACTATACATGTTTTGCAGTTCAGTGACGTCATGTGGACACGTTTGGGGGAATCGGACACGTTTGGGGGTGTTACAAATATATGTAATTGTATGTGGTGAGACTGTAATGAAATATTGAATCTTGAATTTGAATCCATTTTCCCCCCAGTATACTTTAATTCATTACTTTTGTTTGTTTGTGTGATTGTGTTAGAAAACCGTGGTCATGTCTTTCTCTATCTGTTTCGTTCATAGAGGCCTTATCAGAAAGTTGGTGGAAATATAACATTAAAGAATTCAAATAAAATGTGTATCCTTTATATGAAAATACAATGCATACTACATGTAAGATTGAAAGAGTTTCTCTTTCGAGAATATTGTGTTTTGTTTACATGTAGTTGCCTTCTATTTTATTATTGAGAGATAAATATTGTCAGAAAAGGAAGGTATGGTAGTGTGTATTCTTAAAATGCTGATTTATATTGGCTTATATTTGATTTGTCTTTTGTTGTTTAACTGATACAACGGGGAATGTGGAATTCTAATATAATACGCAGACTATTTTCACTTTTTTAACAACATTATATTTTTATTAATCAAACAAAGATTCCAAGCTTCTTTTGGCGTACCCTCCTACACTCCACTAACTACCCAGGGAATACTCACCTGATTATATTTATTAACATATACATTTTTGTTTAGATAACACAAGAAAAATAAATCAGTCATTTGAAAATAATGTTCCTTTTGATAGTAAATATCATTGGACTTGATACTCTGTATCCATTAATACTGGGTTCCTACTCTCTTAATATACTCTTTCACAAAATTTTGTAGACATATCCAAATATTAGGTGACTATTTTCATATTATCGAATTTTAGATCCGGAGGTTACCATAAGTCTTAGGAACCCTGGATACGTCCAGCTATTAAATTTTAGAAATATTGATTAAATAATGAAAATAATATTATATAAATATGGTGCGTCCGAAGCACTTTTCTAGATTTACTTTCAACAGGAACGCTCAAACACCAAAAATTTGAAAGCCCCGGATGTATAAGTACGTGAGGAGCTAGATTTAATCAGTTGTATATTATAAATAACCGGATACAGTTTTGAAATATTTTTTTCTGATATTTTCTCATCAAATGATTGATTTAACGTGTATTTATCCAGTCGACAACATATGTCAAATAAAAAACATTACTTTGGACCAGACCGACACGCTAAATTTTAACATGCCAACCCACAGGCAAACACTGACTCGGCAGGAAGACATGCACCCGATTTACCCTGCAAGTACATGGTTGTGGATAAAAATCGATTTAAGTGTTAAAGAGTTTTTGTGGGCTTTGTATAGCAAAAGTTCCTTTATGGAAACTCCACGGCCTTGTTCTTTCACTTTTGTAAAAATAATATTACTTTAGAATAAATAAAAAGGAATTTCTCCATTTTGATGAAAAGTGTCAGAGAAAATTTGCATTTCTGCATCAAATTTGATAATTTTGATAAATAATCATTACCTATCATTTGTGGACATTTGCGATCCAAGATGCACAGACTTTCTTCGTCTCATAGATTACTTTGTATAAAACTCTGCTTTTCTCTGCATATTAGACGGAACATGCATGTATTAACATTACCGGTGAATGATAAGAAAGAGATGTTTGCGATCACTTGAAGTCAAAGGCGTGAAACAATAAGAGCCAAGTCATTTCTTTTAGATTTTAAACTATAATAATTTTTTACCTGATGATGAATACACGCATTTACTCTGAAACCATAATTGTGCCTTTGAAAGGCAGCATTTTCACCAACACAAGACAAGATGGCGAAAGAATTCCAAAGTAAATCAGAAAGATGGAAGGTGGCTTGAAACTTTGACTAAGGTTCTCGAATTATTTATTTTTCCTAATTAAGGTCCTGCAAAACAATGAAAATTTTGATTTTTCCTCATTGGCCCTCCAATTAAGAAAATGAGCCCCAATCAGATTATTCACTTGTTAAAGTACATTTGATATTCAATTCTTTATTCAGTAACGACGATTGTCGTGTTTTTGGCTCAGTTAATGGTAGGGTTATCAACAGCAACGATCTTCATTGTTGTCTGACTTCAAGGCGTTCGCTTTGCTGACTATCGTTCAATTGATGAAGGCGTCCATTGAGTTACAATGTTGGTAACAATGCATCGTGGTAATTTCAAAGCAATAGCCTTTCTAAAACGCTTGTACTTATAGGAGCAAAGGGTGCCACATGTGGAGCAGAATCAGGAGCACCTGAGATCACCCCCGATTTATTCTATCTTTATGGGGGGTTTAGCGGGGGGTCATGTTGCTCAGTCTTTAGTTTTCTATATTGTGTTTTGTATACTGTTGTTTGTCTTTTGGTCTTTTTCTCTATTTTTTTGCCATGGCGTTGTCAGTTCATTTCTACTTATGCATTTTGGATGTCCCTTTGGTATCTTACGCCTCTATTCTACTTCAAAGTAGCATTGTAAGAAATTAGCTAGTTATGAGATTGACTGATTTGGTAGTATTTCCTCTCTTTTATCAAACACTGTGTATGATAAAAGTTCGTCTTTTGGTTTGAAAATCTATCTGTGACATGAGATCAACCGTATTTCTTGTCAACGATACTGTTGTAATGTCCATAAGTACTTGCATTTTTAATTCACTGTTTTATTCTTCTTGTACTATATCACCATTTGAAAGCAAGAGGTTTTCAAATCGGGTCTCTCAGATCTGACCAGGCTTCACACTGCATCAACACATGTTCCACATAAGGCCACAACAAACTGCCTCCACTTCTCTCTGTCCTTAGCCATGTACTGGGCTTGGACCAAGGTGTAACCCATTTCTTCCAATTCTGCTGTAACAGTTTTTTTCCAGGTGATTCTTGGTCTCCCTTGTTTCCTTTTTCCTGGTGGTGTCCAATATAGAGCTGTTTTAGGTGTGCGGTGTTGTGGCATTCCCAGTACATGGCCTAACCATCTAAATCTTCGTTGTTGGATTTCTGCTGTTATGCTCTTAGCATTACATTTCTTCAAAAGACTATTGTTGCTGATCTTATTTGGCCAGACTATTCTATTGATCTTTCTTCGGCAGCTAGTATGGAATGTATCTACTTTTTGAAGGTCACTTACTAAAACACGCCAAGTAAGTAGGACATATTTTACATTGCTGTTGTAGATTCGCAGTTTGGTCCTTAAACTGCACTGGCTGGACTTCCAGATTGTATGAAGTCTTGCAAATGTTGCACGTGCCTTAGATAGTCTTGCCTTTTTATCCTTTCCTGCCTAATTTAACTTCAAATGAGTCTGAGATAGAGCTACCAAGGATGACACTGCATTCAAAGCTGTTGTAGAAGGCATACATTTTTACATACATACATTGTATGGTTATCCTATAAAGGATTAAAAGATTCAGAGAAAAAGAAGAACTTTTGTTCATACTTGTTGTGCCAGCCTATTTGTTACAATAAATCAAATTCATTATATATTTAAAAACACACACACACACATCTAGGTTACAAGAGCGCAATTATGCTAATGTATTTTCCATAGGGTACCAGTGTTGTTCCATTTTTTTCTCAAAGACTATACAAAATAAAAAAGGGTAGCAGTTCCTGTTACTAGAAATGTCAGCGTTGCATAACAGCCAAAAAAATATATATGGTCATGCGGCAAAAATCATTGACTTAAGGATGTACTTAGGTCAGGTTTAGGAATTTTTGTCAAATGTTCGGACTCCTTGGTTTTTTTCCTACGATACAAGATAAAATATTTTGCCCCATAACACCCATTCAGTTTCTTTTCATATAAGACTTCAATAGCTCATAAAAGGTCATTTACCAAACTTTAAGCAGATTCTAGATTTCTTTTCTTTCGATTTGAGACCCAAATAATACCAATGCAAGTCAGCCTTTTCCGCCATTTTTTAAAGATTAAATATCTCGAAAAGGAGCTCCATAACCTATCAATATTTATAGCTTATTTTATTCCTTAACAAATATTCTTCTGACTAATAGTATCAATTTTAAATTCTTTTTTTTTTAATTTCACCTAAGTACACCCTTAAAATGCAGTTGAAAAACAACGCCGTCTATTTTTTACCGCTTATTGAAAAAGGCAAATTTTTAATGGCTCCTACGTGCAGAAATTTAATATATTGTCTATACTTTGTGAAATATGAATTTTCGTAAACCTAATTCGGGATAAGCTTTCGATTTTAAGTAATTCCAATCCTGTGCCATCCAATGAGATGCCGTTTTAGATTCTATTCTGAGTACCATCTAAAATGTAAGCAAATAATTGCGCTCTTGTAACCTCTAGTAACGCACTCACGTTAAATATATGCTCAAATCAGACAAGTTTTTTAGGAAGCTAATACTTGTTTTATGTATGCTTGGCCTACTTGAATTTCGCACTGGAGTTATCCCTCTTGAATGACGTCACCACTATGGAGGTTCACTAATAAGAGGTGTGTACGGAAGCATAATATTATGCTTCTTCTAAAAATATGTTGGTCATATCATTATGAGTAACGTCTAAAATTTGAAACCATATCATAATCTTCCTATTTCTTAATTACCACACCGTTTACCTGTAAAATAAGAAAGATTGCGGCACTTACAGATTAGGTGATTAACCATAGGTCCGTTTCTGTTGTTGTTTTGATCTGACAGTCTGTCACTTTGTGCTCTCATTACTTTGTAATCGAATTTGTGCGGTTTTTTGTAAAGGCAAAATATTGTGAAAAGAAAACTGTTACAAAACCAAGGGGACCAGGACACATTTCTACTTTACAGGTAAATTTATCCTGTCAGATTGTAAGTAATTTCACAAATGACTAAGGCCGTAAGGGAGCTACCATTTGATTTTTATGGGGCTAGGATGTTGAGTTTTGAGTAAAAAAAAAAGGCAGGATGAGCAACTTGGCAAGGAAAAAAAGGCAGGATGACAATTTATGTAAAAAAAGTAAGGATCAACTAACAAAAAAAATTAGACAGGACCGAATAGAGTGAAAAATAAAAAGGCAATCTTGACAGAGATTACAACTAAAAGAAAAGTGCAGGACAAAATATTTCATCCTAGCCCCCCCTCCCCCCCAAAAAAAATCAAATGGTAGCTTTCTAAGGTCAATTGTAAAATGACTTTTGGTTGAAAAACAATATCGGCATAACATATCTTTTTCTTTCACCATACTAAAAAATGGCAACAACAAGCAAAGAAGGTAAAGAAGGTATCGTCCTCGCCTCCAGTGTGAGAGGTCATGGGTTTGAACCCTGACTGTGTCACATCAAAGACTTGAAAATTGGTATTTGCTGCTTCTACGTTAAACATGGGACAATTTCATAATGTGAACAATAAAAACAAATTCATCTTATTGATGATAAAAACAAATTCATCTAGTTAATGATAAAAACAAATACATCTTTTGATCGAATGATAAAAACAAATTCATTTAGTTAATGATGAATGACAATAAGCGTATGTACTGTGTACATTTTTTTTTTGTACTTCAGCTTTATTAGGATATTATGTTTTCCTTTTGTGTCATCATTCCTTTATTTTAGTGCCAAACATTTGTTTCTCGTCTATTTTAAACATAAAAAGCTTGTCACTGTCACATAAATTGTTAAAAAGGGGAGATATATTTGCATTTTCAAACAGAACATAAATAATTATTCCACAACGAACAAAGCATAACAAAAAGCTATACTTTGCTTTCTAGCAATTTTCACGACACACTGAATTTGGTTAATTATGAGCTTTAAGCAGGAAAGCACATGAAAATAACAATTTACCACTGCAAGTAGCTCCATCCAATGTGAAATATTTGTTTCTTCTTTTTTGCTAGATTACCCTGCTTTTGACATCAAAATGGACAAAAAATAACATACAACTAATATTTGAAACAAAAAAAATCCTAATTATTTGTGGTCATTTTCTGGCAGTCTATACTTAACAACTTTGCGGGAGAATGAAACAGCTAATTGTTCAAAGTACAATCTTACAGAATTAAAATAAAAAAGGAAAAAAAGAACTTATTGTAAAGGGCTATTTAAAAAGGTTTTCATTCCATAAAAGTATTTGCATCAACAACATTGCCAGATCTGTTTGATTGTCTATTTTTATAATAGAAAAGAAGGGATATGGGGTATCCATCCATGACACAAAATCAGTGTGCAGAGCAAAAAAACAAAAAGCAAAGGAACAGCTCTTTTATTGCTGTTCTTCATCTGAAAGTCACAGTAAGGCCTTCAACACAAAGAAAAACTCACCTCACTGCAAGTTTTAAGACAACCCCTAGCACTGGTTTGAGCTGAATTTCCTCTGCAAACTGACGCTCATGCAACAACCGTGAATCTGAAGAACAAAGTCATGGAGAAATATAAATTAATAAAATCAAACATATACTGTCATAATTTAGCTCGACAATCACACCAAAGAACTTTATTTTCAAAAACACAACGGATAATTCTGAGATTTTTATTTAACACAACGGAGGATATGTTATCATTTCTGTTTATGTTTAAATATGATACAAAGTGCACATAATTTGAGGTAAATGCTACTATGCAGATATGATTACTTATAACCTACATTTGTACAAAGTGTTGGAAAAATGTGACCTGGACGCATGTGTTTATCAATGAAACTGACAAAATGTTCATCACGTTTGTTCTAAAGTTTGGATTTCTGGATGATTTTTCTTACAAGAGAATGTCCAAGGCCATTCATTAATTTTTTTTTTCTTTTATGATTTATTGCTGTTCTGTTTATTGCCTCCAGCTTTCATTTTTGCACAATTACAATAAAAAAAAAAAGAAGAGAAGTTATAACTATGCAAATTTTTGTAAATCGCGCAAAGTGAGAATACATCAGAGTACTTGAACAAAAATATCAACTGTCTGTGTAGAGCTCTTCCAAAAAGCTAATTGTTCCAAATAAGTACTAGGCTGACCTGTTCTTGGCTTAATTTTATTTGTTGTATTTTATTTAACCAGTGTCATATGTTGTTGCTATCTGTTTTGTTCTGGTCTGTCCTTTGTACTGAGAAGATGGTCATATCTTCTTTTCAAACTTTCTCATTCAGTTACATGTATGCTACACAGTTAGAGAATTAACATGTTCAAATCAGCTGGTTCAGATGGTTAAAAATTAAGTCTGTGTCAGACAAAACCATGAGATTGAATTTTGACATAGGAGAGAACCCTGACAGATATCACAAATGGAGCAGAAACCGCTAACTCGTCAAGAGCACCTGAGTTCACCCCTGAATGACCCTGATTTATAGAATTTTTTAAATACTCATGCTTTTAATTTCATCTGAATCTAGAAGCCTTTGGGATTTATTTGTTTTTTTATTTTGATTTAGTTCAAGATAAAAATAATTCAACTTTAAGATGGCTGCCTATGGGAGAGGAGAATTTGATGGATTTTCTTCGTATCAAGCCGGTGCAAGTAGAGGTATACTATGATTACATGGATTACAGTACTTATTTTAAAGTATAAAATTGTGTTTATGTTTTAACGTAAATGAATCTTAGAATAAAGCTTGAAGTCTGATACTCATGGCTAGTTGAATTGATTGAAGACATGTAATGTAATGTCTCTCATGCTTGTAAACTATTAAGGACAACAAAACTTACCTGATTATTAGGATTATAAGCAAGGTAATTGTAAGGTGGTAAAAATTGTATTGTTTGACTTAACAGTTGTACATATCAACCTGTAGTGTAAAGAATTGAGGTTGATTTCCATTCCCAAGCTTTCCATGCAAAATAAGGCATTTTATGGTGGTGTCAGTCCTTTAAATTTCTTTGAGGGAAATTTTTTTTTTAAATTCAAATATCATTAAAATCAATAGTTTTCTATCTTTCACACTTGGTTTTCAACAAACCAATTGTCATGTTTTTTGTCTCGCCTTGACGGAGTCAAAAAGTGAGACATAGGTATGCTGTTTCCAGCGGTGGCGTCAAAAATGTATTAGTTTGTGATAAGGTCTTGTTCATGGTGAACCACTAGTGGTAGGTTAATGATATTTGGTGTGCAGTTGTATTAGCATAGGCACATCTCATTACCATGGAGATTATTTGGCCCTGCCCCCTCAGTCATGGTCTATTGACTTGAAACTTTGCTTAGTTTACATGTAACAGTTTGTGATTAGGTCAGTTTATGGGGAACCACTAGTGGTAGGTCAATGATATTTGGTATGCAGTTGTATAAGCATTGGTATATCTCATTTCCATGGAGATTATTTGGCCCCGCCCCCTCATTCATGGTCTATTGACTTTGAAACTTTTGTTTAGTTTACATTTATTAGTTTGTGATTAGTAGATAGATATAGGAAGATGTGGTATGAGTGCCAATTAGACAACTCTCCATCCAAGTCACAATTCACAAAAGTAAACCATTATAGGTCAAGGTACAGCCTTCAACACGGAGCACTGGCTCACACCGAACAGCAAGCTATAAAGGGCCCCAAAAAACCACCAGTGTAAAACCATTCAAACGGAAAAACCAACGGTCCAATCTATATAAAAACGAGAAACGAGAAACACGTATAAACTACATAAACAGACGACAACTACTGTAATCAGATTCCTGACTTAGGACAGGTGTAAACATTTGCAGCGGGATTAAACGTTTTAATGGTACCAAACCTTCTCCCTTTTCTGAAACAATAGTATAACATCACAACATAGAAAAACACACTATAAAATATCAATTGGAAGGCTTAAGGTAGCACAATACAAAGATTTTTTTACTTCCAATCTCCAACCTTTAAAATGATGTTACTTTCTTATGACTGCATACAAATTAATAAAAAGGTATATATAGATAGATAAAAGATTCATCTTTTAAATGAATGTAATATTTTTGTTATGCAATCATTATGTAATCAATTATTATGCAATTAATGGCAAAATCTTGGTCAGTTCACTTGAATGAATTTAGCTCTGACATCTCTATAACTACACAAGAAATTTTAACGTTATCTTAATCAACACAGCAGGAGCTACAAAAGGGTGTCTCAAATTATCGCTATTGTATTCCATTCTCTCATAAATCTGTAATCAGTGTAAACATCCTTACTACATAAAAGTAGAGATTATTTGATTAGGTGTAAAATTTAATCTATACATTCTATCCAAAATCTGAGACACCCTTTTGTAGATAATGCCATTACGACGGTACATATTTTGTACATTATAAAGTTAGCTCAATACTTATATTATAGTTTTATATGTCTCTGATTAAACCATGGCCAAAATTATCTTTAATTATGACATAGTTATTGCATGATATTCCGGGTTCAAACTGTCAACAAGTAGTTCGAAGGGGAAGGATCTTATGACCCAGTTAGTTCACGTAGAATATTCAAGTTTATTTACAATTAACTGCAATCTATTCTATTTTATAAATAAAATGCATGACTGTACCTTCAAACTGGATATATATATCCATATGATCATTAATGAATAACAGAAGTGATCTTGCAATTTTAATCCATAAGCACATGTTAAATCTATTTATATCTACTTCCTGTCATTTAGGCGGGAAAATAGGGAGACTTTGTTGTTGACATTGAATATGCTACTTATAGATCTATAGACCTAAGATAAATTTATAGATTTAGGAATTCTTTTTAAATGGATTATGACAAATAAAGATTTAGATTTCAGTGCAGTATTAAGTCTGTTTCTAGGTTTGATTATCCCCAAAGACAAGAAAGGTTAATATTTACATGTTCATGAAATCTATGGCAAAATGTTTTAAAATTTATGAAAAATTTCTTTTTATTAAAATTTAAGATAGAAACTGGTTCAAATTATTACACAATTTTGTTCTTGTTAATTTTAAATCTCTTTATGACAGGAATCCTTTCACATACAACAACTTTCTTTCTAGAAACTAGAAAGTTTTTTAAATTGAACATTTTTGTTCTCTTTTGAATCTGGGAACAGTATATCTAACAATTTATATGTTCCTGTTTGAATGATATTTTATTTTTATTGATCATGGATTTTATAAAAAATTTAATTACTTTAAATTTAGATGAATATTGTGTAATGAATCATGTTTTATTTATTTTTAAAAATATTAAAAGTATACAAACTGTTTATTGATCTTTTTAACCAATAATATTCTGTTATAACACAGTACCACAGAATTAAAACTAAACAAGAGACAAAAAAAACTGCAGTAACTAGAAATATAGCGACGCAACGCAACACAACTGATTGTATGAATCATTTCACCAAGCTGTTCACACGCGTTACCCTGGTGCTATCCAAAAATCCTGGGGAGAACACTGATAATGGCTCTAGGAACAACATATTATAAAATCAACCCTCGCGGGGTATCCATGAAGCAGCTAATTTCAATTGAAAGTGGAAATTTCTTGTAAAATTTTGTAGACACAGTTAAAATTATAATTAATTACATAATTGTTGTATAATACTAACATTGCATTAATTTGAAAGAGTAATCTGTTAGCTATCCATAAATACCACTTTTATAAATTTTCAAGCATTATAAAGAAAGTTACAGCATTTTAAAACTGGGGAGTTGGAGGTATAAAATCTTTGTATTGTGCTACCTTAACTCAATCAAAAAACGTAAATTAACAAACAATGAACGAATAAATTTGACCTGTGACACCTGAATGCAAATACACAGTTAATAAAAAATTACAAGGGATAAATAATTAGTGTCAAAAGTAAACAAACAGGTTTAAACAAAGTTAAAGTATGATATCACTGTGAAATTTCAAACAATTTTTAGAAAATAATCACTTTTGGAGAAACCTGCGTCATATTATACACAGGTAAATGAAAATAATTTTGTTGTTAAGTATACTTCTTCTTCTGTGTGTATAAAATCTTCCGTTTAGGAATACCAAGAAATTTCTTTAATATCAATAAAACTAATCTAACACTTGGTACATATGGGGTGAATATCAACAATAAAAATATACAATTAGTGCTAGATAAAACTTCCTGTACAGGTCCAAGAACAGCATCAAAGGTAAAATGAAATAATTTTGATGTTCATAGTACGAAGAAGTGAAAATTTGTAGTAAATTAAATACCAAATAACCGAAGCTGGTATATAGACAAGATCCATGTTAACATTAAATAACAAAAAAGCATTACAAATAGTATCAACAGGTCAAATTAAAAAGAAAGTACGATTTGAGAGTACTCACAGTTACTGACAGCTAGTTAAAAGCCAAAACAATTAATAATAAAAAATCATGCATCAGTGATTAGGTCAGTTTAAGATGAACCTCTAATGTTAAGTCAATGATATTGACACTATATTCAGTATGCAAATTGGCATTTGCAAGTTTCATTTCCATGGAGATTATATAACCCCACCCCCTAATTATGGTTCATTGACTTTGAAACTTTTACATAGTTTATAAGTTAATGTTTAAGTTTAGGTTTGTTTAAAGGGAACGACTTATGAAAAGTCAATGGTATTTAGTTTGCAGTTGTATTAGCATTGGCACATCTCATTTCCATGGAGATTGTTTAGCCCTGTACCTTCAGTCATGGTTCATTGACTTTGAATATTTGCATAACTTACATGTTAAAGTATTGCTATTTTAATTTCAACATTTGCATTATCAAAATAACAAATAGGTGAGACATATCTCTGTGTTTACAGTTTATGTTGATACATGTATCAGGTCTAAAAATAGAGGACAATTACTCAACTATTTTGGGCAGAGAAATAACGAAAGCATATATGTCCTGACTATGGGATTTATGACCAGTAAGGACTCTTTGTATTGAGAGTAACTGATGAATAGTTATTCTTGAAAAAATTTCATATATGTCAGTGGACACAGAATTAAATATCATTGCTCATACATGTATTAATGTTGATTGGATATGCCAGCATTGTATGGTCATTAAAGCAAAAATAATTGTTCTTACACTTTCATAATCAACATGTTCTGATTTCAAATGGCAATTCACAAGTAATGAAACAAATGAGGGAATTGAATGGGGGATGGTACTTAGTATTGACCTTTAGTTCATTCACTTTGTTAATGTGTCAAGACAATGAAAATTTGTATGCCATTTACAGTGTCGGTCTCTTGTGTTATATTATGTTGTTAGGGTTAACACTTAGATGAACAACAGCAATAAAATTACTGTTTTTGTTCATGTAAGTGTGTAGTGATTCTGTGTTACGAATACATACACCTTTTCCATTCCTAAAAATATAATGTTTTACAGGTCCTGAAGGAGGTAGTGAATTTAACCGATTATCAAATACTGTTGCAAGTAATATACAGAAAATAACACAGAATGGTGAGTAATATATAGAAAATAACACAGAATGGTGAGAAATATATGGATAATAACACAGAATGGTGAGTTATGTACAGAAAATAACACAGAATGGTGAGTAATATACAGAAAATAACACAGAAAATTGAGAAATATATAGAAAATAACACAAAATGGTGAGTAATATACAGAAAATAACACAGAAGGGTGAGTAATATACAGAAAATAACACAGAATGGTGAGTAATGAACAGAAAATAACACACAATGGTGAGTAATGAACAGAAAATAACAACGAACGGTGAGTAATATATAGAAAATAACACAGAAAGGTGAGTAATGTACAGAAAATAACATAGAATGGTGAGTAATATACAGAAGATAACACAGAAAATTGAGAAATATATAGAAAATAACACAAAATGGTGAGTAATATACAGAAAATAACACAGAAGGGTGAGTAATATTCAGAAAATAACACAGAATGGTGAGTAATGAACAGAAAATAACACACAATGGTGAGTAATGAACAGAAAATAACAACGAACGGTGAGTAATATATAGAAAATAACACAGAATGGTGAATAATGAACAGAAAATAACACAGAAAGGTGAGTAATATACAGAAAATAACACAGACCTTTGAGTAAACATGGTAAATGTAAGAGTCAGCAGATTGTCTAGTACATTACAAGCACACCTATATTATACAGAAAACAAAAAGATGTCCAGTAGAATCTGTAGGATAAGCAATGAGACATACAGCCACCAATGAGACATACAGCCACCAAATCACCAATCAACAGGATAAACATTTTAAAGAGAATACAATTAGTAACAATTTATATGGGTAATTAGTAACAATTTATATGGGTAATTAGTAACAATTTATATGGGTAATTAGTAACAATTTATACGGGTAATTAGTAACAATTTATATGGGTAATTAGTAACAATTTATACGGGTAATTAGTAACAATTTATATGGGTAATTAGTAACAATTTATACGGGTAATTAGTAACAATTTATATGGGTAATTAGTAACAATTTATACGGGTAATTAGTAACAATTTATACGGGTAATTAGTAACAATTTATACGGGTAATTAGTATAAATGAAGACTATGTTCATCCACATATCAACTTCATGCTTCAGGGATAACCAATTGTCACAGAAATTGATCTCACATTAGTGTATAAACCTTTTAAAAGGCATGACTTAAAGGATGTCAAGTGGGTCTTTAAATTTTGGGTCACAGATAATCCAATTTAGAAAGCTGACCTTAAAGATTGGGATAAGCCATATTTTGCTTTAAACAACAGGGTCAAAAGAAAAGGGGGAAGCTAAATAAACCCTGCTGAATGTTAAACGGAGTTTTTGTGTTAACTCATGTTAAGAACATTCTGGTTCCATTTAGAATTGAGACTCCCTATATTATATATAAATGTTATTTTTACAGTATCACAGATCCAGAGACTTGTTGGTGTTATTGGAACAGCACAAGACTCTCAAGACTCCAGAGATAGAGTGTAAGACACTTTATTCAGTGATAGTTATATGATATGTTCATTTCTAAATTTAAAAACATCCAGTTGAGACAAAACACAAAAATTGACATGCTTAGTACAAAGTCTAAAGAAATACCACATTAAGTTATTAAGTGATGGAAGTTTTATAAATATATAGTCTCCTTTTGTGTAACATAGCACTGTAAATAATAGACCCAGTCAAATCCAATGTAATTCTTTGTATTCATGAATGATATTATAAATTTACATTTCTTTTCTCTCTTCTTTTTCTCAGTTTTCTGAACAACTTATTCCTTAAAGTTCAGTTTATGTATACATGAATTTATTTTTGAACAACAAAATGCAATATAGATTAAGTTGCTATAAAGAAAAACTGATTATTCAATGCATGGTTTTAATAATTTTATAGGCATCAGCTAACACATTACACCAATCAGCTAGCCAAGGAAACAAATGTAGATCTGAAGTCATTTGCAAGATTGCATGTATCACCATCAGATCAGGTAATTTGTTGTTACACTTCTTATATATTGTAATTACTAAGTTAAATTACTGTCCCCTTCAACCAAGGAGAGTGGAGGATATGGAAATGTGTATGACTGTCCATCTGTTTATCCAACATTCTCTTCTCTTCTGATTTAATGAAATCTTTTTCAAATGTTTTCAGTAATATTTCGGATACATAAATCGAAAATCAGTGCAAATCAATTGTTTTTTAGGAAATGGCCTGTTGGAATTGTAAATAAGGTGGAAATTTAGAAATTATAAGTGCTTTAGCTTTTCATTGTAGTTAAATGAAATTGATGTAAAATTAAAGGTTATCATCAACAATATCTCGACTTTTAAAAAATGATTGCCTATCAAATATTTTCTATAAAATATTACCTCTTGGATATGTATATAATATGAAAAAGCAACATTGTAAGCTCTCTCGAGCCCACATTTTTCAGCATAAATTAATTAAATTTACGTAGCAAAGGTTTACATCAGCAATATGAACATATATGATAATCGACACTGTTTAATGACTTTCAAGGAATATAAGTAGTGTAGAAACATGCATGGACAATAGAATGGCACAAACATTTTACATTTTATATTTTGCTAATGTTCATGCATCAAGATAAGTGCTTGGTAAGGGTTGTTGAAGGTTACGTTACTTATAATTATTAATAATGTTTGTCAAGGTGATTATTTTGTTCTACCAGTTTAGACCAATTAGATTACTTAATTGAAATAAATTATTTTTTATCAAGTCAAAATGGAAGATGCAAAAAGACAGATATACAGAAGAATTCAGTAATGCATTAACAAACTTCCAGACCACACAAAGGACTGCTGCAGAGAAGGAGAAAGCAAGTGTAGCCAGAGCAAGGGCACATTCATCAACAACAAAGGTAGGATTAATGGTTTAAATCATTTGGGCTTTAATTTATATTGATTTTCCCACAGGTTGGCCCTTTATACCAAATAATTTACGATAGGGATCTGAATTCCAAACAGTTTGTATCCTGATTTTCGTATATTTTGTTTAAATTGTTTTTTTTTAATATCTCAACAATTTTGTGCAAAATTTTTTTTTAAAATAAGGCACAAGAATGTCTACTGTTACATGACAATGTAAAGATTGAAAAAAGTACAATGAATTATTGAATGTGAAATATTATCTGCTGTGAGACTCACACGACACAAGGTTTTTTGAACCATAAATATAAAAATAAGGAGATGTGGTATGGTTGCCAATGAGACAACTATCCACCCAAGTTCAAATGAAGTGGATGTAAGCAATTATAGGTAACCGTACAGCCTTCAACAATGAGAAAATCCCATACCATATAGTTGACTATAACAGGCCCCCGACATAATTTATAACAAAACAATTTACGAAAAACAAATATGATAGACATGAACAAAGGACAACCACTGAACTACAGGCTCCTGACTTGGGACAGACATATAAAGAATGTGGCAGAGTTAAACATGTTTGTGGGCATAAAACATGTTTTATCAAAACAATTACTGAAGGCCTAAGGTGATACTTAAGTTAAATAGTTAATTGTTTAGAATCTATTCTGTGAACTACAAGTGCATATGCTGTTAAGGTAAGTACAATTCTTACCACATCAAAAACTATAATCATTCTAATGTAGTAAAACATCTGAAATTTATTTTATACCTTTAATGAAGTATAGCCAATTAATTATATAATAGATCTGTCCAATGAATTTTGACTTACACAGTATACAAGTAGTTTATTAGATAACAAAACATTATCATGGTTATATATTGAGCTTTATATAAACTTTAGGTATGAATTACTGAAAATGTTGTTTATATTTGAGATAATGGAATTTTATATAAAATATAACACTAATAAATGTATTTTAATTATTTGTAAACAATGAATTCCGTTAATTGCTTGGTATCTTTTTGTTCAATACTTGATAAGTTTTATTGTTCTATGCATAGCTAAATAGATATAAATTTGATTTCAGTATCCTTTTGAAGATGAACCACAAGAAGATTTTACATCACCTGGGTAAGTTTAAAGAATACATTATGTTTTAGATGGTCAGTCTTTATGCATGTATAATTTGTATGTTTTCTATTGGCCAAAACGAATGTAGGACAGAAAGTCACAGGACAAAAAGTCACAGGACAAAAAGTCACAATTCAGTTTTGAGATTATTTTTCTCTGAACAAGAAAACACTAATTTTAAAAATAAATTTTTGATTTTTTCTTGAACTATAAAATATGAAGCAACTTTGTAATTAAAATTTATTCAATAAATATCAATGATGATCAAATAATTGTTATGATAACAAAATGTCAAAGTGGTTTGGCACTTAAATGGCTTCATGGTGCCAAGAAATATATCATTTGCATGATTAAAATTTAATAATTTTTCATTTATCAAGGCTAATGAACAATTTCCTAAACTTAAAAATGAATAAATGTAAAAAAAGAAATTATTTGAAGATCTTTCTCTTATATATTCAAACAATTGTCAACAAATTATTTGTGACCTTTTGTCCTATCCAATTTGTGACTTTGTCATGTGACTTTATGTCATGTGACTTTCTGTCCGTTTACCAGCCAAAACAAGTCATGTGGTTGTGTTACATAATTTCACATCACTTAAAAAAAAATATTTTGCATTTGGTAAGGACATTGATAATAGAAAATAAACTATGTATTTAACTCTGGGTTCATAAGTATTTGAATGAAATTTTGAATTCAGAACACATAGACTTAAAAGATAAAATGTCAGTTGTAAACATGAAAGAAGATTGGTAAATTTTCATAAAGTTTAAAGGATTAATACAGTGATGAACACCTAAATAAACAAAAACAAATAATATTATGTCAGCTGATTGATTATTATATCCTCTACTTTAACTCTTACCTGATTTACTGATCACCATCATTGTTCAACTGTTTCAGTTTTATATTTTTTTTTATATTTTTTTATACATATCATTTTCAGATTTTCACAAACAAAACAAGTTTTACAAATGGAGGAAGATGTTGATTTAGAAATGATTCAGGAAAGAGAAAATGCCATCAAACAGTTAGAGGTTAGTAAATATATCATACAGATAAGAATTGACACAAGTACAATTTATAATAAACCTAATTTTACATTATTCACTTAAAACTTGCTGATGAAGGTTAGCTACAATGGAAAAAAATTATGTATCAGTAACAACCACAAACTATTTGACTTGACCATATTTACCATTACAGAAAATTATGTCCCTTTTCCTCAGACCCTGCATCCAGCCCTGAAAACAGGTGGAAAAACTACAAGTCAAATATATTTCAGACAAAAAAGGTGCATTTCCTGTTGCATGCCCCAAAAAAATATAGTTGGTAGTAAGCCAGGATCATTTTTTTTTTTTCATAGATTTCATCATGAAGTTTTGTGAACAGTTGTTTTTTGGTCCTTAATGCTCTTCAACTTCGTACTTTGTTTGGCCTTTTTAACTTTTTTGATTTGAGCGTCACTGATGTCTTTTCTAGACGAAAACGTGTTTGGCATACAAAATTTCAATCCTGGTATCTATGATGAGTTTATTTAAATGTTATAAAGTTTTAAACTGTCATGGACTTTTATATATCAGGTTTATAGTTACATTTCATCAACCAAACTGCAAGCACATTAGGTTAGATAAGCCAGCCATTTGTTTATTTCACAGTCCCAAAAAAGATTTTACAAAGAGTGCTAATTAAACTCAAATTATTTTAAGTTTTAAAAAAATTTTAAAAGTTAGGGTCAAAGCCTATAAATAAGGGTCTGTCGGTTGACCTAAAATACACTCTTTTTTTTTGGCCTAAGAATTGTGGATTAATGAGACAAGATCTATCAGGTTATTTCTATTATTATGTTCATTTGATTGTGTTTGTAATTGATACAAAGATTTTCCAGCAATCATATAAATGGACTTTCGAAAAGGATCCAGATTTTCATTTGTATGTTATGGATCTTAATTTAATTTTTCTTTTCTCTTTTAGCGTGATATTACAGATGTCAACCACATCTTTAAAGATCTTGGTATGCTGGTCCATGAACAAGGTGATATGTTAGGTGAGTATTGATAGAGAAGAGAGTTACATCCCCTGACTCTGGTTCTTATTCATATTTTATCCCTGAACATTTGTAGCATGTTAAATCAATCTAATCTTTTTTTTCTTATCTTGGTCCAAGTTATTTGTTCAGTTAGTATAAATAAATAAAAAGAGTTATGTCCCTTTACCATATTCTTGCTTTATATGACAAAATGATGTAAATGAAATCTTAAAGATAGTTGTATGCTGGTGTATGTTGATTTGTTAATTAGGTAGAGGATAGAATTAGGTCTCAAGTATGCTGGTGTATGTTGCTTTGTTAATTAGGTAGAGGATAGAATTAGGTCTCAAGTATGCTGGTGTATGTTGATTTGTTAATTAGGTAGAGGATAGAATCAGGTCTCAAGTATGCTGGTGTATGTTGATTTGTTAATTAGGTAGAGGATAGAATTAGGTCTCAAGTATGCTGGTGTATGTTGATTTGTTAATTAGGTAGAGGATAGAATTAGGTCTCAAGTATGCTGGTGTATGTTGCTTTGTTAATTAGGTAGAGGATAGAATTAGGTCTCAAGTATGCTGGTGTATGTTGATTTGTTAATTAGGTAGAGGATAGAATTAGGTCTCAAGTATGCTGGTGTATGTTGATTTGTTAATTAGGTAGAGGATAGAATTAGGTCTCAAGTATGCTGGTGTATGTTGATTAGTTAATTAGGTAGAGGATAGAATCAGGTTTCAAAAGAACAAGTGTAACATCATGTGCAAATCAAATCACCCATGTGACATCACAGTTGAACTGTGACAAAAAGTCTAGCCCAAATTTACATTTTCATAAAGGCCTTTTACAAAACTTTAAGAAGTGGTGAAATATAATGGTATTAAACATTGTTCTATGAAATAACAGAGCCTAGTAAGCCCCAAAACTTACCGCTTAAATCATGTATAATCTTTTGTACTTAGATTTTATTTATTTTTTAAACAAAATTTTGATAAATGTATGTAGATTATAAACTTCAAATTGATTCACATTACAACAAGAACTCTGCTTTCAGTAAGGGATCTTCATGACTTAAAGTGAATGGAAATATTTTTGGAAGCTATCATGACAGCACATTATCTTTACAATGGATTTTAGTTTTATTGATTATTAAACAAATTGATATTTCAACCGTAAGAAATTACTAGTAAATAAAACTCTACCTGTTTAAATGTCTTTGATCGCTGGTCTATCATCACTGTGATATGCAATTTTAAGGCTAGGATAGATATAGGATAGGGTTATTTCCCCCTAACTATGGGTATTATTTTTTTACTGATTTAAATCATACATTTACAGATGTTGATTTATGTAACAGAAACATTTTGTGTTTTAATAAATAAGAAATAGGATGTTTCTGAATTCTATACCAATACTGTATTTAACATAAAAGAGAGAGAAAAAGGTTGAATCCTTCCTTCCTATATTACAGATAGTATAGAGGCTAATGTAGAGACAGCACAAATACAAGTCCATGAAGGCAATAAACAACTGGCTAGTGCCTCAACATATCAGGTATTATATTTACTCTACCGGTACTTGTGTTGTCATGTTTCCACAAATTGAAATTTATCCCATACCTCTTCTTATGCACCTTCTCTAGCAATACTTTTATCTTTGTGTTATCAAAAATGCTCAGGAAAGTTTTTTTTGCTCTGCTTTTCAGTTTTATTTATATCAGTATAATGGAATTTTTAAAGGATAAAAAAGAAAGATTGTAGACGTATATTATGTCTACTGGAAATGTGAAAATATATCACTGAGGGGAATACAAAAATCTTGTTAAAAGTAAGAAGTTGAAGGTTTGATGCCTGTCACCATAAGGAGAAATACTTCTTACTGTGGAGTCAAAGTTAAGAAATAAGATGATTGTAAACACATATGTAAAATTTCATCTGAATGAAGTTCCAGTCCCATTTTAAGTAGTGTATGACCTACCCTAAGGTACAGACAGAAGACAACAATGAACAAGTGTCTGTACTAGAAACATCAGAACAAGACATCTCTGTGGTTAGACATAGTAGTAATCCAGAGAAGGGGGATATGTCTGTGGTTGGTCAGAGCAGTAATCCAGATCAGGTTGAGAAAGGTTCTCATAGGGTAAGGGGTTTTCACTCCTGGTTATTTTCTTGTCAGATCTTACAAGCTTTATACATGTAATAATCTGTCTAGTGGAGGATCTCTTGAAAAACTATGTTCTTGGCAATGTTTTGACACTTTCTGCATGACTTTTTGTCTTGCATGCTACAAATTTCAGAATTGTCTCCTGCTTCAATGTCCTGGACAGTGGTTACTCTTAAAATAGATATTGCTGTATACATATATTTTCAATGGTAGATGAGATGGACAATCCAAATCTTTTTTGTAGATTCTTCATGAACTTTCTGAAGTTTCTGTTTGACCTTTCTGTTTCCTTGAATTCTATTATTCAATGATCAAACAACAAAAACTGAAAAGATATTTTTTTAACTGACATTTCAGTAACTATGAATGATGGGTCAATGATATTGAATATTGTATAGAATCATTGTACATGTCCAATTGACAGGGTTCACTTGACTAAATATACAGACATTATGTTTGAGATGTTGTAATAATACATTGTTAACACATGGCATTTGAAGTTTTTGCGAGTGGTAACCTGTCAGTTGCATGATGTACATTAAGATTAAGTTTTTCTGGATAATATTTAGCTATAAATAAAAGGAGATGTGGGTCAATGACACAGCAAACCAACTACGCAGAAAAAACAAAAGATATCTAGAGGTCAAAATACAGACTTCAAGATATAAAATCTGTCAAGCTCAAAATCTTCCATAGTAAATTGTGAATAAATTCATTAGATATTATAAAAGATCTGTAATCCATCAAACCTTCTAAATAACAAAATAAACATTGAGACATCACACAAGGTTCCCGATTGGGACAGTCACATGACTATGTGCTGCCATTTTGATTTTAAGAACTTCTGCTGGAGTATATAAGTGAATAATAAATTTTATTATTTAAGAATATTATCATAGTTCTTACGACTGTCTTACATTCAGTTGTACTAGACCTATTTTATTTTTCCTTATTTCTCTATGTTTGGTTGAAGATGCATTTTGTTTATTTCTGTATTTTTAGTTGGACCTATTTGTTTATTTCTTTGTTTACTGAAAACTGTTTATTTATTTCTTTGTTTACTTAAAACTTTTTGCTTATTTCTGTATGTTTATTTTTGCATGTCAGTTGAAGCGTTTGTTTATTTCAGAGTAAGGCACGAAGAAAAAAATGTATCTGTCTGGTTATAGTGTTTGTGGTAATAGCAGTTGTTGCCATTATATTAATTGTAACATTGAAGAAGTAATCAGGTAGGCATATATAAGTCCCGTACATTGTAAATAAAAAACAACATTATTTGCTGATCTGAAAAAAAAAAATTGCTTTATTTGAACACATTTTGTTTTGTAAGCGCACCAGGGCCCAAAGGGCCCCATGTGAGCTTATGCCATCACTTGGCTTCTGTCGTCGTCTGTCGTCGTAAACTATTTAAAAAATCTTCTCCTCTGAAACTACTGGGTCAAATATCTTCAAACTTTAACTAAATGTTCCTTAGGGTATCTAGTTTATAAATTGTATCCGAAGTTTTGATTCATCGACAAACATGGCCACCATGGCTAAAAATAGAACATAGGGGTCAAATGCAGTTTTAATACGACCGCAAAAAAATTTTTGTGGTCGTATATTGGTATGACGTTGGCGTCGTCGTCGTCGTCGTCGTCGTCTGGCGTCGTCCGGCGTCGTCCGAAGACACATTGGTTTTCGCACTCTAACTTTAGTTTAAGTGAAGGGATCTCTATGAAATTTTACCACAAGGTCCAATACCACAAAAGGAAGGTTGGGATTGATTTTGGGGGTTATGGTACCAACAGTAAAGGAATTAGGGGCCAAAAAGGGGCCAAAAATAAGCATTTTTGTAACTTCCAAACATAACTTGTGTGTTAGTGTATGGATCTCTCTGACATTGTACCACAAGGTTCCATATCACAAAAGGAATGCTGGGATTGATTTTGGGGGTAATTGCCTCAAAATTTTAGGAATTAGGGGCAAAAAAAGGGGCAAAAAACAAGCATTTTTCTAGTTTCATGACAATAACTTGTGTGTAAGTATATGGATCTTTCTGAAATTGTACTACAAGGTTCCATATCACAAAGGGAAAGCTGGAATTGAGTTTGGGGGTAATTCTTAGGGTTCTTTGATATGCTGAATCTAAACATGTATTTAGATTTTTGATTATGGGCCCAGTTTTCAAGTTGGTCCAAATCAGGGTCCAAAATTAAACTTTGTTTGACTTCAACAAAAATTGAATATATGGAGTTCTTTGATATGCTGAATCTAACCATGTATTTAGATTTTTGATTTTTGGGCCCCGTTATCAACTTTGTCCACATTGAGGTCAAAAGGGTCCAAAATTAAACTTTGTTTGATTTCATCAAAAATTGAATTCTTGGGGTTCTTTGATATGCTGAATCTAACCATGTATTTAGATTTTGGATATTGGACCATAATAGGTGAATGTCCAATTTAAAATTTTTAAGTTCTTAGACCACATTCATTCTGTGTCAGAAACCTATGCTGTGTCAAATATTTAATCACAATCCAAATGCAAAGCTGTATCAAGCTTGAATGTTGTGTCCATACTTGCCCCAACTGTTCAGGGTTTGACCTCTGCGGTCGTATCAAGCTGCGCCCTGCGGAGCATTTTATTGGCTTATATCTCAAAAACTAAAGCTTTTAGAGCAAATCTGACATGGGGTAAAATTGTTCAGTTGGTCAAGATCTATCAACTCTGAAATTTTCAGACGAATCGATCAACCCATTGTTGGGTTGCTGCCACCGAATTGGTAGTTTTAACAAAATTTTGCAGTTTTTTTGTTATTATTTTGAATATTATTATAGATATATATAAACTGTAAGCAGCAATAATGTTCAGCAAAGTAAGATCTACAAAAAAGTCAATATGACCATAATTGTCAATTGACCCCTTAAGGAGTTATTGCCCTTTAAAGACAATTTTACACAATTTGTTCATGAAGTTTGCTAACATTTAAAAATCTTCTCCTCTGAAACTACTTGGCCAATTACCTTCAAACTTCAACTAAATGTTCCTTAGGGTATCTTGTTTATAAATTGTATCCGAAGTTTGTATCCATCGACAAACATGGCCGCCATGGCTAAAAATAGAACATAAGGGTCAAATGCAGTTTTTGGCTTATATCTCAAAAACTAAAGCTTTTAGAGCAAATCTGGCATGGGGTAAAATTGTTCAGTTGGTCAAGATCTATCAACTCTGAAATTTTCAGACGAATCAAACAACCCATTGTTGGGTTGCTGCCACCGAATTGGTAGTTTTAACAAAATTTTGCAGTTTTATGTTATTATTTGAATATTATTATAGATATTATAACACTCCCAAACGTGTCCATCCCCCCAAACGTGTCTGATTCCCCCAAACGTGTCTATTTCGCCCAAATGTGTCCTTAAAATCCCAAATCGCCCATACGTGTCCAATTTCGCATCCCCAAACGTGTCCGATAGTTGTTATTCGCCAAAACGTGTCCACTTTGGGACGCCTGAACGTCTCAAAACTTTTAGCGCTATTATGTTCTCAGTGACGTTAATAATGTCTACGGTAATTAATTTCTCGGGGACACGATTTAAGATGTCGGGTTTCGAATAATAAACTCATCATAGATACCAGAATTAATTTTGTATTTACGCCAGATGCGCGTTTCGTCTACAAAAGACTCATCAGTGACGCTCGAATCCAAAAAAGTTAGAAAGGCCAAATAAAGAACGAAGTGATTAGATCCTATAAAAAAGATTAAAGACGTATTCAAAAGACATAAATGCTGAAGTATTTTGGCACAATTACTGGAAATTAAAAAAGGAACAGAGTTTAAAGAAGAAAATCCTAAATTTGTTAGCATTTGTTTGTTCAACGCCGGCTGTTTATATTAGTTTAATTGCAAGTTTGATTTGCAACATATGAATTTACTCTTCATTGTTGATTCCTTATAGTCCAGTTACAAATATTTCATGCATATTCAGAACGACAACATAAATAAATACATAAGGTAGATCTATCTCTTCCTACACGAGGGACATGACTTTTACATCCCACACAGCCAAATGGACGCCAAACTTTGGCAAGGATTTAAATGTCGGTTGGAAGAAGACCTAATTAACCATGTTTCTATTCTCCATTCACGCTTGGAGGTAGGACAATAGATGAATGATTAATTAAAAGGAATATACGTCAATAATTTAATTTTGGATGTAACGCGTCTTCCGATTGGCTGACGTTGTTTTGTTTATCAGCTCATAGACATAATTTTGTCATGTGACCTTGACGTCATCAACGTTTTTTCATGATTTACTCCGGTTTAAAATGTAATAAAGAATTAAATTATAAGAAATGACTGTTATATTTTTTCTGTCTATTTGAAATAACATAAAAAATGTGGTGCACACTTTAAAATAACCCGCTACGCGGGTTATTCAGTGTGCACCACATTTTTTATGTTATTTCTTCATAGACAGAAAAAATATTACAGTCATTCCTAAATAGAAGAGCAATAACCAAAATTTGTTATTAAACAAAATTATAAATTTTAACATTGGTGGACATGTAATTGTTACTTGAAGGTCAAAAATTAAATTAATTGCATGGGCATTTGAAAATATGAACAAGATTGAGCGTTCATAAAAGGAAACGTTTTGACTTGATATGGACACGTTTGGGGGAATGGACACGTTTGTGCGTTCATAATACTGACACGTTTCGGCGCCCTTTTGCAACAGGACATGTTTTGAATTCAGCGACGTCATATGGACACGTTTGGGGGAATCGGACACGTTTGGGGGGATGGACACGTTTCTGAGTGTTACATATATAAACTGTAAGCAGCAATAATGTTCAGCAAAGTAAGATCTACAAAAAAGTTAATATGACCATAATTGTCAATTGACCCCTTAAGGAGTTATTGCCCTTTAAAGACAATTTTGCACAATTTGTTCATCAAGATTGCTAAAATTTAAAAATCTTCTCCTCTGAAACTACTGGGCCAATTACCTTCAAACTTTAATTAAATGTTCCTTAGGGTATCTTGTTTATAAATTGTATCCGAAGTTTGTATCCATCGACAAACATGGCCGCCATGGCTAAAAATAGAACATAAGGGTCAAATGCAGTTTTTGGCTAATATCTCAAAAACTAAATCTTTTAGAGCAAATGTGACATGGGGTAAAATTGTTTAATTGGTCAAGATCTAGCGGCCCTGAAATTATCAGACGAATCGAACAACCCATTGTTGGGTTGCTGCCACTGAATTGGTAGTTTTAACAAAATTTTGCAGTTTTTTGTTATTATTTTGAATATTATTATAGATATATATAAACTGTAAGCAGCAATAATGTTCAGCAAAGTAAGATCTACAAAAAAGTTAATATGACCAAAATTGTCAATTGACCCCTTAAGGAGTTATTGCCCTTTAAAGACAATTTTACACAATTTGTTCATCAGGTTTGCTAACATTTAAAAATCTTCTCCTCTGAAATACAGGTGAGCGATTCAGGCTCTTGAGAGCCTCTTGTTTAGTTTACTAATAGATTTGCTTGATTACACACATCTCTGGGTAATGCCTTTCTTTGTATTGGAAGACAAAACGTGTTTCAAAAATAAAGAGTGGCTACCATTTTATATTTGACACATAATACGCTTATATTAAAAGTTTGAACCATATTTTTGTGAATGGTTTCCTACATCAAACAATTATTGTGTTATTTAAAAAAGACTAGTATTTAAGAATAATGAAAGTTAATTTTGTGTTTGTAGAAGAAAAGCAGAAGGAAGAAATGTATAATTATTGTAATTCTCCTGGTTGTTTTGATATTCCTCATTCTTATCATCTGGGCTGCTACTAAATCTGACTAGTCTACCAAGGGAAGTAACTACCAAGAGTCTGCACACAACGATGCCCATGTCAAATAGTGAGGAAACAGCTTTGTCAAGAATTACATGAACATTTTGTCAAAAAGAAATTCCAATATATTACCAAGAAGTGTCAAAATATCTGCAGGTTTAAATGAAAACAATGTTTGTTTAGCTTAATTTTCAAATGGACTGATTTAGTGTTATAGAAGATGTTTATATCGTGTCATTAATAATTTATTAAATAACATTTACATATAAAAACACTGAATGTTCCTTTAAAGCAACAAATTGACACACTTTTATATAAAATTGTAAGAAAAATGTTATGGTATATATGCCATTGACATTTAAAATCAGCATATGTTGTTCTTGTTTACTTGGTTTATAATAATATCTTATCGTGGGATATACTTATCTATAAATTGTTCATGTCTTTTTCATGAATGATATTTCATTTACATAAATTTATTGTAATTATACCATAATCCCTTCTAATTTTGCAGAGTTGAACACAAAACGTGTATTACTATATGCATTTACAAAAATAAAAGAAGCACTGCATGAGGTAATTGGAGTTGTGAATTCGAAGTTTTAATGTAATTTATTCATTACATTTTCCACTTGTTTGGATGAAGTGTTTTAGTACATGTGTCACAGAAAATTAACCTTGTACCTTTGAATATAGAGTGGGAGTTCCAAAATTAATGAGCTTTTTGGGCTATCCGAAGATTATTACCTATACAATGTTCGTTACCCCCCTTAGTTTTGGGTTTTTACAGTGCATTTTATTCAATTTATAACTCACAGTTATCCAAATAAGAAATGAAATTGAATTTTTGTCTTTGCAATACTATATATTTTTTAAACAGGGCATCCGTGGCTGAGTGGTCTAAATAGTTCATCTACAGCGATTACTAGTCTGTCAATAAGAGTTTGTGAGTTCTAACCCATCTCATAGCAGTTGTGTAGATCTTAATTGACTAGGATTGCCAGTTTTCCTACCCAAGGTTATGATTCTCTCTCACCAAAAAGTGACTGCCATCATTAACCCAAGCGTGCTGAAACACCAACAATCAATCAATATTTGAAATTCTGTTCAAAAAGGGTTTTTTTTTTTAATTTTTTGTACCACCATCACTTACTTGTACAAACTAACCCTTGAGGTAAATTTTTAAAAAATGTTGTAAAAGTACAACTTCATCATTCTCTATATAACAAGGTATGAACAATGCCACAGAACTCTATAGATTATTTTGTTTTATTATTATTATTTATAGAACACACATTGTTACCATTATGATATATTATTTAAAGACAGATACCATATACATGCCAATAATATAGAATGTCAATAAACTTATTTTTGTGTGTGAATGTCATATGAAGTTTTGTATCTGGCATATAATTTCGATTTTTTTCTTAGAACCATACGACTATTTTATGATTTTTTGTTCTAGTAAATACTGACCTACAAATTAGAGTAACGATTAGTAGCTAACAGAACAGTATGAATATTCAGCTTGAAAGGTAAAATTCTCAAAATTGAGAGATAAGTCATGATTATGGAGAGAATACAATCTCTGTTTGGTATTTGATGCATTTAAACTTTTTATTTTGTTAAGTGTATGTCTGTGACAAACTAGATCCAAAAATATATCTAATTTGTAATCAAAATTCATAGCTAAATAAACTCATTTACATCATGTCCCCTTTTTGTATCATCAGAAACTAGTCTATGATAGCTACTATGGGCTTGGAGACTAAGTCATTTCAATTTTTATTACCAAAGTCTGTAGTTTATCAAAGACAAAAACACAAATCATACTAAAAGTAATTATATTTAGGTGCCAGCATTTAAACGATGAATAAAAGGAGATGTTTGGAATATGTACTAGCTTTAGTAACCATTCTAACCAAACTGAATCAGTATGTCAGATTGATGATGATGATAATTATTGGTTTCAATTATAGGCATTTGAAAAATTATTATTCATGCTACAATTTTACTACTAGCCTTAGTACAGATAGTAATCTAAACCATCTCTCATCCTAGATACAAGTTTTACAGTACCCCTTTAGTCTGTGTCCTTACCTGGTACTTTTTTGTAACTTGAGCTATATGATTTCCTTAACATTCCTAGTTATGAATGAGTATGATTGATGTCTGTATATTAAATGTTAGGTAATCATTTGGTTGTTATTATGTTTTGTTATAGACTGTATAAAATAAATGTGATATACTTTATAGTTACTTATCAGATCAACAAATTTTCACATGTCCATCATCTGTCCTGGATGTGATTAGTCGTACTAAATGTAGCAGGTCTTCTATTCAGAATAATCTTTTTATAACTTTGTTTTGTTGCAGTCAAAAGGAAAACATGGTCAACAGAGGCAGTTTTGAATCATGATTGGTCATTTTTCTCAAGAAGTACTGAAATACCTTGTCGTATTTATTAAAAAGATTCATTGTGTGATACACTGTTAATGATAGCAAGTCAGTATGACCACTAATTAAGACTTTATTTAACATTAAAAATCTCCTAGCTGCAATACAATGTAGATTGTAATAACATGATTTACTGAACATTTCTCATCATGTTTGTATCATCTATCATGATTACCTCTTAATCAAAATGATTTTGAGCTTGCTTTCAGCTAACATTCTTTCATTGGGTATAAAAGATCTAGAGTTTGTTGCATTTTAGCTGACTGTTTCTGTTTCTCAACTTTTCTAGGCTCAAGACAATTTACAGCTTGATATATTGTAAAGACACTTGTCATACTGTAAAGACACTTGACATATTGTAAAGACACTTGACGTATTGTAAAGACACTTGACATTTTGTAAAGACACTTGACATATTATATAGACACTTGACATATTGTATAGACACTTGGTATATTGTATAGACACTTGGCATATTGTATAGGCACTGGACATATTGTATAGACCCTTGGTGTATTGTATAGACACTCAACATATTGAAAAGACACTCTTTTTAGCTCACCTGGCCCGAAGGGCCAAGTGAGCTTTTCTCATCACTTGGCGTCAGTCGTCGTCGTCGTCGTCCGTCGTCATTAGCTTTTTACAAAAATCTTCTCCTCTGAAACCACTGGGCCAAATTTAACCAAACTTGGCCACAATCATCATTAGGGTAACTTATTTAAAAAATGTGTCCGATGACCCCGCCAACCAACCAAGATGGCCGCCATGGCTAAAAATAGAACATAGGGGTAAAATGTAGATTTTGGCTTATATCTCTGAAACCAAAGCATTTAGAGTAAATCTGACATGGGTAAAACTGATTATCAGGTCAAGATCTATCTGCCCTGAAATTTTTAGACAAATCTGACAACCTGTTGTTGGGTTGCTGCCCCTGAATTGGTAATTTTAAGGAAATTTTGCAGCTTTTGGTTATTATCTTGAATATTATTATAGATAGAGATAAACTGTAAACAGCAATAATGTTCAGCAAAGTAAGATCTACAAATAAGTTGTCATGATCAAAATTGTCAGTCGACCCCTTTAGGAGTTATTGCCCTCAATAGTCAATTTTTAACAATTTTTTGTAAATTTTTGTAATCTTTTACAAAAATCTTCTTCTCTGAAACTACTGAGACAAATTTAACCATACTTGGCCATAATCATTATTAGGGTATATAGTTTAAAAAATTTGTCTGATGACCTCGCCTTCCAACCATCATGGCCGACTAGGTTAAAAATAGAACATAGGGGTTAAATGCAGTTTTTGGTTTATATCTCTGAAACTAAAGCATTTAGAGCAAATCTGACAGGTGGCAAAAATTTTCATCAGATTTAGATTTATCTGCCCTGAAATTTTCAGACGAATCCGACAACCCGTTGTTGGGTTGCTGCCCCTGAGTTAGTAATTTTACAAAAATTTTGCAGTTTTTTGTTATTATCTTAGATATCATTATAATATCAAATATCTAATACTATTAATTATGATTTTAACCTTATTTTACATGATTTCCAAAGCATCAGTAAATACAGGTGAGCGACACAGGCTCTTGAGAGCCTCTAGTTTTTATAATGAATTTGCTTTAATATTGTAACAAATAGACTAGCACAACATGTATGAACAAAGGTATACAGAATGGCATAGTCACAGCAAGGAAGTTTTAAATCAAAAACAACAATTGAATATATAATGGTATAACATTAGGTTAAACATATTAAAATGATTATTTATTAATGAGGGAATCTTAATTCATTAAACCAAATTGATAAAACCAAAAACCCACATTATTAATTAGTATATAATGTGGATCCAGGAACTCCAGTACTTGTTATATTCATCTTCAGAGAGGTTTTTAAATGAAATGTATTTCTCTAAGTTCATGTGATCCTTTAAATAATTTTTTAAAGCATCTAAATTATAAATGGCAATACTTCTTGTAATTTTGTTCGGTATATATAGTATTTTGTAAGCAAAATAATCTTTATTTTTAATAAAATTCAATTTAATTTCGAAGTTACCAAATAGAATAATTTTGATATTCAAAGTCAGTTCAATATTTGTCATTTCTAAAATCCAGTTGTTTAGTGCATGCCAGAGACTGGAGACCATATGACAACTCCAAAATAGATTTTCTATGGTCTCTGGTTCTTCTTGGCAAAATTTACATATATTGCTACTATTTATTTTCATCTTGTAAAGTAGTGTATTAGTTCCCAAAATTCTTTGGATAATTCTATATTGGAACCAGCAAAGCTTTGTGCTTCTAGTCTATTTTGTACATGAAGTGTGTATTTTTTTTCCAGTTAATACCAGTCATATTAAGATGTTTTGCCATTTTTCCTTTGCAACAAAAGTAATATATTTTTTATTCAATACTTTGTACATGTCCTTTGAACCTTTCTTTGATTCAAAGAAAATACTTATATTGAAAGGTAGCATTGCTTGAATTTTATCTCCTTTACATCAATATTGATCCTGTTTTACCACTCTTTAAGCGACTGTGTGATATTCCATAATAAAATGGAAAAAATTTGGTCTAAATTGATATAGTTGTTGGAAATTTTTAAATGACATAATTTTGCCCTGATTATCTAGCAAGTCATGCACTGTCCAAATTCCAGCTTTAGCCCAGTTTTTGTAATAAACAATTGAACCACCAATTTTAATTTTTTCTCCCTACCATTAAGGATAAAATAAAACTTCATCAATACATCTTGGTTTTCTTATTTGATAAGATTGTAAAGACACTTGTTATATTGTATAGACACTCCACATATTGTATAGATGCTCGACATATTGTATAGATGCTCGACATATTGTATAGACCCTTGGCGTATTGTATAGACACTTGAAATATTGTATAGACCCTTGGCATATTGAATAGACACTTGACATTTTGTAAAGACATTTGGCATATTGCATAGACACTCCACATATTTTAAAGACACTTGGCATATTGTATAGACACATGACATATTGTATAGACACTCCACGTATTGTATAGACACTTGATATACTGTTAAGACACTTGACATATCATATAGACGCTTCACTTATTGTATAGACACTTGACATGTTGTAAATACACTTGGCATATTATTGTATAGACACTTTACATATTGTGAAGACACTGCATATATTGTAAAGAAATTTGACATATTATATGGACACTCGACATATTGTTAAGACACTTGGCATATTGTATATACACTTGACATATTGTAAAGACACTTCATATATTGTAAAGGCACTTTGCATATTGTACAGACACTCAACATATAAAGACACTTTGTATATTGTAAAGACACTCGACTTGACATATTGCATAGACACTTGACATATTGTTAAGACACTTGACATATTATATAGCCACTCAACATATTGTTTAGACACTAGATATTGTATAGAAACTTCACACATTGTAAAGACAATTCACACATTGAAAAGACACTTGACATTGTAAAGACATTTGGCAAATTGTATAGGCACTCGACATATTGTAAAGACACTTCACATATTGTATAGACACTCATCATATTGTATAGACACTTGGCATATTGCATAGACACCTAGCATATTGTAAAGACACTTGACATATTGTATTAGACATTCGACATATTGTTAAGACACTTGGCATATTCTGTAGACACTAGACATATTGTTAAGACCCTATATAGATCACTAAATGTGTTTTGTGTGGTTGGGTTACTGTCTCATTCGTACAAACTATATGGTATATTTGTCATGGAACTTGTACATATTGGTTTCAGGTTTGTCCTATCTTACTCTTGTTAGTCTGTCAACAATTTTTGTCGTATCTTTATCACCATAGCAAAGTCAAATCCATCTATAGTAAACGGAATAGAAATTTTACCACCACTAGAAGACCAGGATATAATTTTCAGTGAAATAAATCTTTCCGTGTCAAAAGCCAAACAGTCACCACACAAAGTATTCATCTACAATAAAGAAAACTGGGAAAGTAATGACAAAAACTTGAAGGAAACATACACACATATGAAAGAACACCAGTTAGAACTAGATATGACAATGTGTCGAATGACTGCAAAACAAACAAGAAAAACAAATTATACAGAAAGAAAAAACATGATGAAAAACACATTAAAAAAAATAAAACACAGTTGCAGAAAGAAATGGGAAAGGCCTACTGGGACTATATTGAAAACATGATAATTGACATTGAAATACAAGAACATGAAAATCAGAGATTCAATAAACACCCCACAAATACATAAAAGGTCAAAATAATGAAAACACTGGTATTGCACCTCTTGGAAGTGAAGGTTTACTCTTCACAGATCCCTTAGAGAAAGCAAATATATGAAACGAACAATTTAAATCAATATTAACATCGGAGACTAATACAATAATCCATTAAAGGTCCATCAACACATCCAACGATGGACAACAGAGAAGGCATCTATAAATTAATTAAAAATAGAAATAAAAAAAAGCAACAGGACCAGATAACATAACTGGAATAGTGCTAAAAGAAAACATTAACACATGCACAGACATTATCACTTTAATTTTTACAAAATCAATACAAACAGGAAAAGTACCTCATGATTGGAATCACGCAAACTTAACACCTGTTTTCAAAAAAGGAGACAAACATCATCCTGGGAACTACAGACCAATCTCACAAACAATTATTTCCCTGAAATAACTAGAGCACATACTTGCAAGCAACATCGTGAAACACCTTGAATCAAATCAAAATAGATCTTGCGAA